AATCCTGTAAGTTGTGCTCGTCTAGCACAGGTTCATCCTCCACGATGGTGGTTATGGTTTGCGGGACAGCTGGCGACTGGTTGCTCTGATGGGATTCGTCGTCAGCTGGTCTATCTGCAGGGAATATAATATCGAGAGCTTCGGCCAAGTCCTTGGGCAGCTCGCCGTCGCGAGTTTGCGTCGTCGCAACCAGCGGCTGCGGTACCAGATCGGTTTCAGCCTCATCAATGCCCGGTGGAAGCACATCGTCCTCACCGTTCTCATCGTTAGCCAGTTGATCTGCATCCAGGGAGTCCGTCCCGGCCGCATTGGCACTGTTGCCAGGCGGCGGCGGTGGCGGGCAATGTGTCATTAAATTGGCAAACTGCACTGGATCCGGCATTAGCTCATCATAGTCCATCATCATGCCGGCATCGGGATGAAAAGGTGGCGCATTGCCATAGGCATCCTCCATCATTGCCATCTGAATCTGCGCCGCTGTCGGCGCAATCTGACGCACTGCGTTCGCCATGCCCATTCCGGTTGGAGGTGGTGGCGGAGGTGGCCCCACTGGTATATTCTCCATGTTGCCATTGGTGTAGGCGTTCGGATCGTTGTAATTTGTAGCAGTTGTCGAAACAGCTGGCTGCTTCTTCAGCACGGGCATTTTACCAATGAACGGCAACTTCTTGCCCGTAGCTGCAGCTGTGGCGCTCGCATTGCTCTTGGTTACTTTTGGCTTAGCCGCTGGCTCTTTTTTATCACGCTTAGTATCGTTCTGCTTGCGTTCGGGCAGTGGACGTGGCCGAAACTCTGGATGCTTGATTACCGGCCGCTCGACGCGCTCCTCCGAGTGGCTACGGCTGCGGCTGCGACTGCGACTGTTGCGACGCCAGCGAGCATCACGTGAGCGACTGCGTCGACTGCCGCGCACAGGGGAACGGGAGATCCGCCTACGGCCACGACTGCGCGACCTGCTGCGAGAACGCCGGCGGTCGCGATCACGGTCTCGCTCTCGTTCACGATCCCGGTCACGATCGCGCTCCCGATCCCGATCGCGACCACGATCGCGTTCGCGATCACGTTCACGATCACGCCTATCACGTTCTGTGCGCCCACGACTTCCACTTCGTGGGGATGGACTACGTCGCTTCGAAGCGGTCCGTCGCGATTTCTCATCGCTAGCAGCATTCGAACCTCGATTCTCATCGGCCGGGCGAGATTTGCTTTTAAGCTTGCCCTTGAGTTGTTCGAGCAGCTTCTTCTCGCTCTCACTTATGACTGGCTGCACCGTGTTCCATTGTTGCAACATCGCATCGTCGCGCTTCTTTTGGTCTTCTTCTTTCTCTTTCGATTCATTGTTGGCCGTCGTCCATTTGCCACGTTCTGTTGCATCTTTGAGCGCATCCTTTATGAAGGGCGGTGGCGGTGGCACCACCTGGGGCACCGCCTCCACTTTAGCCGGCACAGTCGCATCCTGTTTACGCATAGCCACACGTATTGATGAAGCATTGGTTGATGGCGCGACCTCTGCTGTGGGCTGTGCCTTCTTTGGTTGCTGCGCCTCATCCGCTTCATCCGATGAAGAGCTATCCGATGATGCGGATGAGCTGTTTCCTGCATTCGCACTTCGCTTATGCTTCTTGCCGTGCTTTCGCTTCTTTTTCTTCTTTTCGCTGCTGCAATGAAGAGAAAGAGGAGTTTGAATTTCAATAATAATTACATATATATTTAATACAGTACAAACCTCTTCTTTTTACGCTTCTTCGAGGAGCTCTTCTCATCCTCCTTCTTGGCCTTCTTGAGCTTGGCCTCCTCGCTTTCCTTTTGCTGCTGGGCCCGTTCGCGTTTACTTAAAAACTCGCTCTCATAGTTCGGCTGCTTCTTCAAGAACAACTGCAATGAAAAGGCAAAATAATAAAAAATTTTATTATAGCTTACGTATTTTTCTATATTCACATTTACTTACATCATATCTGTTGGAGTGCGTAAGAGATTTCAGATGCACCGAGGCGCAGTGCAAATCTCCAATCCAAGCGCTGCACAACTTGCAATACCAGGCACTAGCGGGGACCAGAAATTGTAGACCACGCACAGGTACACGCTTGATGGGCGCCTTATCGTAAGTGGGATACGGATCATGATCGATGCCCACATGCCAGGGTGTCTCCATGGTCTCTCTGTTCATGTGCTCCTCGGCATGCAGATGCTTTAGATAGTCGCGCGCCGTTTTTGGGAAAACATTGCAACTTTCACACCAATGTTGCTCGGGATCAAAGAATACATAATTATAATTTTGCGCTTGCGGTGCAGACGATTTGGTCTGCGGTGCCGCCTGTCGTTGTTTAGCCTTCATTGTTTTCATGGCGCGATTCTTAAGACGATTTGTGGGACTGCCGTCACCTGTGCCATTCTCTTCGTCGCTCTTCTCCTCCTCTTCGGAGGATGAGTCAGACGAGCTGCTTGAGGATGAGCTGGAATCTGAGCTATCAGAGCTATCGCTTGTCGTGGTGGAAGCATCGGCTGCTGTTTGACCTAATTTACCCATAGCGGGCTCTGACTCCTTTTTGGGCGTGACTTCCGAATCCTCGTCGGCCTCCTCGTCGCCAATGATGCCATTTAACATGTCTATAACGTTCTCAATTGTGTCCAGTTTCTTTTTGATTTGCACCTGCAAATTAAATGTGAAAGTGTTATTTGAAAGTATATTTCATGGATTGCTATATCATTGAAATTTGATTCAAAGACTTGCCTGAAGACGATCGTTCTCCTCAATGAAATTCTTTGTTGTTGGCGATGGTGGTGCATCGCCAGCTGTCAGATCGTTTCGCTGGTCCTTCAACACTTTCATTTCCTTCTTGAGCAGCGAAACCTTCTTCACGTAGTTGGTGCGTTGCTTTTTCAGCTCTTCCTTTTGATTTTCCGCCTCCTGTGCCACAGCTGTCATGTTTGATGATTGATTTGTATTTGGGAGTGAGAGAAAGAAATTAATTAATGCGCATTCTCGCTAGATGATTTAAAGTTCAAATTTCATTTACAAAATGCAGTCTCGAGTGCATTTCACGGCTAGTTACACACTGTTGGCAAATGAGACCAACGGATGCGTTCGCCGGAACGTTATCGAATCGGTTTGTAGCATATCGGGAATGACGGCTTGTACTGCTATCCATCTGGTATTGGCTGTGCATGTTGAGGCTGACGCTCTGACGGGCTGACCGTTCGTTTTGTGCCCTGACGTGCCGTGTCGTAACTGCTCACTGTGTGACCGTGCCGCCGCTCCCCCCAAACGAGAAAGTTGGGTCTTAGACAAAACACGACAAAAATCGAGACATTGTTGCGCTTTGCTTACGTAAATCGAATTGAATATTTCAAGTGTCGTCAGAGCCAAAGTCCGTGTCAGTTTAAGCTCTCGCTGCGATATTATAGCTAGATTCTAAATGTCTTTTACAATGCATTTTCTTAAATACTTTTGTGCGTTTGCAAGCGCATATTTCAAATTACAATTAACAAATTCAATTACAAGTTGGTTTTTTTGTTGTTGTTAGGGGGCGCGTAAATCATGACAACAATAAAATATATAATGTGAGAGGTTTGCATGTGAATTGTGGTAAGTAGCAAAGTCAAAGTTCATTTCCACACTTACCGTCCTGTGGTGGCAAACCTGCGCTGTCAAGCGCCGGAGTTGGTTGCTCCTCCATAATGACTGCCGCGGGCGGCTGTTGCTGCTGCTGCTGTGGTACAATCTGCTGAGTTGCTAGTGGCTCAGGTGTTGCTGTCGGTACAGCGCCCAACGGCTGCGGCAGCCAGACTTGTTGTCCATATTCTATTAAAAATATATATTATGTATCACATTATATATACATAATTTAACTTGGGTATCTTACCATTTACGCCCCAGGCGCCGTAGCCCGTGTTGAAGTTGGCAGCCTGTGTGGGCGGCGGACCTTGCATATAGCCTGGTGGTGGTCCTGGCGGCGGAAAGGCATTTGGTGGCGCCATGCCATACTGGTGTCCATATACATCCGGTGCACCATACGCTGCTTGGCCGTACATTGGCGCCGGCATGACTCCGTAAGCTCCAGCCTGGACAGGATGGCCTAGCTGTTGCTGGGCAAGCGCAGCTTGGTTTGGCAGCGGCGGCGAAGCTGGCTTCTTTTTAGGTGACCAGCGAGACGCTGGACTAACCCCTCGACCTCCACCTCGTCGTGGCGGTGAGCCGCTGCGCGAACGCGATCGGGATCTACCGTAACGGTCCCGTCGACCACGTCGTGGAGGCGAACGCCGACGATCTGGTGAGCGTCGTCGCTCGAAGCGACGCCGTGGCGGATAGCGGCCATAGTCCGGTGAATCGTAGCGTCCCCGACGTGACGGTGGCGGCGTCGGTGATCGAGTATGAGAGCGCCTGCGACGCACGGGTGAAGAAACGTGACGCGAGCTGGAGCGACGTCGAGATGTTGAGCGTCGACGTGAATTTGACTTCGTTTTGTGAGATGCAGGCGGCGCGGCTGCTGGAGCCTCGATTTTTTCGCTAGCATCATTGCCGTCCACGCCGGGTGGACCGTCATCCAGCGAACTACCTATGCGCTTATCTGTTCCTTGTTTCAGTTGTGTGTCGTCATCCATGATAAATGAGTGGAATGTATTCCACTAATCACTTGCGCTCTTAATGTGCACTTAATGGTTGTTATACGTTTTAGATTTTTTTCCTCCGTAGATTTTGCCAGTAGAGCTGCAAAAATTATGTCGATACTATCGATAGAGAGCGCAGAAAAATGACCGAACTATCGGTAGTTTCGATTATAATGCGCTTGACCAGGTGTGACCAAACAAACGCAAATCAAAATTTTAAAAATAGTTACTGTAATATATTTTAGATTGTCTCCTTTTTTTTTTTAAATAATGTAAACAGTGTATTTTATTATAAACGACATTTAATAAGATGTATCATATATTGTGGAATTCTGAAAGTTTCTAATCAAAACTACAGAAGCACTTTGATATTTATCGATACTTTGAATTCGAGTTCGAATTCGCGTCATCTTGAAAGCAGAGCGGCACAACTGTCGACATATTGAAAACAAAGAAAAATTATTACAAATCTTTCTAACAAGAAAAAGAGGGTTAATAAAATGGATCGCACAATGATTGCACCGTGGAAAGCCGAAGAAAAGGATCTAAGTGAAAAGTTAAACCAAAAACTACGAGGCTTAGCCTTGATACATCCCATGAATGATGAAATGAAGAAACTGTTGTCGTGGGACATGTTCCTTAAACCCAACCAGCCCGCCTTTTTTCAAGTGATGCACTATTTGTTTCGCATACTGGATCCAGCGGAGTTCAAGCGCAGATTCTTTTGGCCCATCACAGACAAGAAAGCGGAAGCAACGTTCCGGACAACTACAGTTGATTATCTAAAGCATTTAAATGCTAAACATAATCTCAATTGGGCGAACATTAAATCTTACCTTGTTGTCATGCCGGGTGGAATGAAGTTCATCAACTTTCTGTTAGATCTTGTTAGCTTCGTAATACAGGATCAGATTAAGCAACGGGAAAAAGCTTTATCCGTTGACATAGACATATCACAATTCCGAGACTGGAGTGCCGAAAGGATGGAAATTGCAAACAAATTCCGAAAAGACTATGTTTCAGCATATATTGAAGAGCTGGACGAGAATACAGCCAAGTTACGTGAATGTACCCAGAAAATAAGGCAAAAATTTAGTGAAATATCAGCGGCAACTGGGGTCGACGAAGCTTTACTTTCGGACGATAAGTTTCTAATGGCGTTCGAGGCATCCAATCGTCAGAAATGCGAGGAGCTAATCACTTTGCAAGCGGCAAGAATCGCGGAGCTGGAGACTCCACTGAATTCGCTGAAGGACAACATCGATAAGTTTCAGGACAAGCAGACGATCCACAAGTTAAACAAAGAAGCTGCAAACAACGCTTTGCGCAGCATCCAGACGTTATGTGGCATTGATGCTGATCATGCAACAGGTAAATATTGGAGTAAATACGGTACTCAAATAATTCATCCATACTTCTATATCTACGATCATATTTAAGCCAATGTGAATTCTATGATGAGAGCTTTCAATAAAATTAGCGAGACAATTGCCGAACAGTTGGATGCCAACGATCACTGCAACGAGTCCAATGAGTTTGTTGCCGCAGGCCTAGAGACATTGCGGGCCGAACTCCAACAGATCGATCAGCAAGTGAGCGATGTGCAGAGGAGTTTTAATGCACGTGATAAGGAACAAAGCATCAATGGTAATGCTTCGCAGGCATCGAGTTCCTTAGGTGCGGTGCCGACCACACCGTTGCGACATTTGGACCCACACCTGCATGCCGGCTCCTCTAACCACCCGCTGCTAATGAAGTTCGTTTCGACGCCCCCGATTAGAACGGATATGGCGAGTGGTGTGCGCAGTGCGCATGTGCGCTTGCCGTTGCAGGACGACTTTAATGCCAATCAGCTGGAGACGACTTGCAACAATTTGTTGGGTAACAGCAGTAGAATTCTAATATATGTAGCTGACAAACGATTAATTTGCACACATTTGTTCCAGTAGCCGCAGTACCACGTTCGGCGCGTAAGGTGAAGGCTGAGTATGTTTCGGAACTAAACAACACCACCAATCGTACAAAGATTATGGATCCAATGCAGCTGTTGCGCACCATAAATAAAAAGTCGAGTCATGCTAACACGACAGCTGCTAACATCTCGTCTCTGGGCAGCAAATGGAAAGCAATGCAGGCCTCATTTAATTTTGATGAGGCTCCATCCACAATGCCCACCTCACCCAAGCCAACTATTGTCACTGAAACCTCGCCGTTTACGCCGCTTAATTGCAACGAACGAACTCGCGTTGAGCGAATGCCCCAGGCAACAGCGGCTGATATCAGCAACAACAACAGCAATGGTTCTTTGTATGCCATAAAAAGCGTTGCCCTGATGAAAGTATTAGACGCTTCACTGAATGTACAAAATCTCACCACTTCACCATCCGGGCGGCTAGATGCCCTTGTGCCAGGTCCACTGCCCGAACAGCAAGCAATACCGCGCTTGCAGCTCAATGACCAGACAATAAATGTGGGTATAATATATGTAAAATAAGATAATATTTGCTAAACCTTATTATTTTAGGATTCGCAACAGGTGCAGAGCATTAAGGAGGAGATCGTTGCGACTCAATTGAATACGCAGCCGCCCAAATTTAATCTCGATTTCAGCGGAGACAACGATGACTTGGGGAACATTAGTGATAACGTACTAAAGGACATATCATTTTAGTTTTTGAATATTGAATATTAATCTTTTATTTTCATATATCTTTTTATGCCTTTACATATGTATAAATACGTCTTTATTTGCAATTATTTATTTTTGTTTTTTTTTGCATTGTTAACTTACATAGATTTTTTGAAAGAATTTACAATTGTTTACTTTAAGATGTTTGCTTGGCAATTTATGTAAAATTAACTGAACTAAAATTCAGTGAGGTAAACTTCATAGAATGGACGTTAGTGAAGAAAAAGTGAAGAAATGAGATTTTAATTACAATTGTAAATAAGTGATATTCAACAATATTTAACTAAAAATTTTCAAATCGTGCATAAATATTAATAGAAATAAAAAATAATGTTCCTTACGATTATATTCCAATTTATTCAGTAATGCTCGATTTATTCTGTAATGCTCGACTTCAATTCATAGCCTTAAATTCATAATTTTCAAATAATGTTAAGATATGAGTTCTATTGTAATATCAGTATTTGCTTATCGTTTTATCACTTCATGTATTGAGCATCCGTTGCAATAAGCACACCGAACTAATAGTATGTATATAATTTGAATTTCATTTCGAATATATATGTGTGTATATGTGTATATGTATAAGTGTATGTACATTATATGCATGCAATTGATAATGTCAATAACAATACTTTGTTGGCAAATTTGTAGCATTAAGTTAATTACATTAGATGTAAGTAGTTATTGCAGTCGGCCCAAAATGTTGCCATCTATCTAATCAAATATCGTATGAGCAGTTATCGTGCACAACCTGCGGCTCTCCTTGCCATATCATAAATATATAAATATGTGTTTGTATATATATCATTCCAAAGATCAATCTGCACCTCAACTTCGTCTAGGCTACAATTTGCACTGTCATTTACAAGGGATATTCCATATTGCTTTGGTTTTGCGGCCATTTTATGCTTGACTGCAGTTTTTTTATTTGCCGCGACGCTGTCGCGGCGGCTGCTTATTCTTCTTGCCTAAAATCTTCATCAGTTGCTTGGACATGAAGTAGGGCTTATCGGGTGTGCCATCGTTGCGCTCACAGTCCTCCAAGAAGCACAGGAACAGCGTGTCCACGGCCATCGAGTAGACACCGAAGAACACGCTGCTAATCAGAAAGGCGGCGATCACCACCACAGTTGTGGGCACAGCCTTGTGGTTGAGCTGTATGACGGACGGATTGTTGGCCAGGAAATAGTAGGTGGACACACCAGCGCCGGCGGTGAGCAGCACCTTGGACAGAAAGAAGAGAAAGTCGGTGACCTTATCCAACGTGACAACGCGCAGAAAGTTTCGCATCAGTAGATTAAACGCATCCTTGGCACTCGTACAGAAGTTCTTGCCATGAATCGCGCACATAATGTACGCGTTTTTGTTGAGAAACCTGAGGAACGATTCCAGCAGCCAGAAGAAGCAACGCATACAGCAGAGAATCGCTCTTGTCACCACATTATCGTACTTCTTCAATTTGGCATCAATGTATTCGAGCACCAGGCGTATCATGCGGCAAATGGCCAGGACCAGGGAGCCGAAGGCGAGTGTACCCAAATGGTAGCACGCTGTTTGGCAGAAGGCACGTGTGAGTGTGAAGTAAGGTACATCCCGCTTCTTGAAAGTCCAATACCAGCGGGCAAAGGTGGCCGCCAGTACCATGTCGCTGAAAGCCGATATAAAGAAGGTTAGCCAGAGGTATCCAAACACATTGTATCCCATGGCCCAGCGAATTAGCGGTGGATTATCAATTTCCAAAAAGCTGCAAGTGGTCTGAGCGCAGGACTCGCGCCTCAGATTGATGTGACAATACTGTTTAAATATCTCCGGATCGCAGGCAGCGCCAACGGTGTAGTTAACACCGGGTCCCTCGCAAACGCACTGCTCGTTGGTGACCTCGCCGGTATCGGTTAGGCGGCGAACCATGCGAAAAGAGAACGTGCCAATGGAGCCGAGATAGAGGCCAACGCCAATGGCAAATCCAATTGTGCCAATGAATAGCACCCAGGAGAAGATCGGGAAAAAGACGGTGCTGATAACGGTGCTCACAGCCTTGCTGCCCTCCTTGATCAGCGCAATGGCGATACGTATCCTCTTGCGCAGCACAATGACCAAAAGGAATATGACCACAAAGACGATGCAGGCAGCAATGGACAAGTAGAGCCACATCTTGGGATTCTGCAGCAGATTTTGCCACTGCTTGTGCAGATTTAGATCGTGCAACGGCACCGTGGCTGTATTGCTCCAGAAGCTGTACTGCTTAAAGCTGTAGTAGATGGCAAACAGAAGGCCGACCAGCACGCCGATGATGGAGAACCAGAGCATAGGCGCGGCAATCCAGCGCATCAGGGCAATGTAGATAAGTGAGGCGAGCAGCGTACAGAATAAAGCCATTAGCACCACAGATGTTGAGTTGACCAAATCCTCGACAATTTCCTCGCCCAGACGCTGGGCATCGTGGGTGCCATTGTAAAAATGGGCCACCAGATTCCCCACCATCTTGGCCAGTCGCGTATCCGTTTGCATCATCTTTTCCCTAATGACTGCCCCGTTCAGCTGCTGACGGCGGCATTGTCCGACCCGTTCGTCTACCGGCTCCTGCTTGCTGATTCCAGTTTGTGGTGCCACACGAGCCAGCGCTTCACTCTGCATGGTCAATGCCATCGCCTGCATTTCCAGCTCCACTTGACTCGAATTGCCGGGCAACCGTAACGTGGAGTCCCGCCGAGCACGCAACAGCACGCTGGGCAGCAATTCGCAGATTTGATCCGAGAACTCAAACATGCAGCGATTGAGGAAGGGCTGACTCTTGATGTAATAGCGAGCACAACGATTTTCCTGGATAGCACGCTCAATGTCCGCTTTAGATCCAATGGCTGCCTTGTCCGCATCCGTTTTGCAAATGAGTCGAGCTCTCAGCTCCTGAAGACTCATGGTGTTCTTCATGCTATCCCAAACGAACGTCTGTGAGGGACAACTTTCGACGCAAACCTGCAATACATAGAGAAGGGATGAGAATCAGAACCAATTCAGAAACAGAATCAATTTACCTGTGGCGTATTACAGCCCGTAATGGGCACTAACGGGTCAATACATTGGTCCAGATTAAAGAAGAACAAGTACTTTTTATTCAGCACGCTGGAGTCGATGCCGCACTTCTGATTGTACATGTCCGTCGGCACCATCAGCTTATTGAGATCCCCATTCTGTATGGCATAGTGGGCTATGAACGCCCAGCCGCCCAGAAAGAGTACAAATAGTATTAGGCAGGGTACATCCGTGCAGCTGCGATCTCGTTGTCGAGGTCCCTGGAAATTGCGATCATAGCGCAGCGGCTCGCCATATTTGTTCACCAGCTCCACGTTCTCAGTCATCGCAGCCTCTCACTCGTTCTGCGGTTAAACATGTATTGAAATGAGAAGCTGTCATTGGACGAAACAGAAAACAACTCTAAGTATCATCAATAATGCTTACGTCTATATATGTATGTTTCTCATTCTCAGTTTTGTTTTTGCTTTCTACGTAACGACATAATACACTTATGTGTATATATAGTACATACATATATAAACATAGTTCACTGTAAGTTATTTCAGAACATTCGTCATTGCTTCAAACTGAAGCCACAGCAGATAGCATACACTAAAGTTTCTTTATGCATACTATAAATCATCGGACATTACGCGTACAGTAAATGCTCTATAATAACTGATATGATAAATAAAAAGCAAATTTAATAATTTAAAATTTTTATATTATATTATAGCTGGGAAGCTTCATATGGCAAATAATAATTCAGAAGTATGAAATATTATTTTTATAAAAATAATTCAAATTCTCACCACATTTCAGTTTTTAAATAAATCGCAGCCTCTTTAAATCATTTGATAAGAATAATCAAAAATAAAGGTACGTATTTCTTCTTAATAGCATACCGGAAAGCAGTTTTTAGTATCTGTGTAGTTCCTGTCTGCAGAAGCAAAAACTTAGTATATTTAAGCTATGAATATGACAGATAAAAAAACCTGCATAATCATAAGCTTAGCATAAAGTAGCATAACGTAATAAATCAAAAAGATACCAGCCTATATTTAACTACTACTAATACTACTAAAAACATACGTATAAAATGTTAATAAACACATCTCAGCTAGGCTTATTCAGGTATATATGAATTATATGTTCAGCCCAATAAAAGCTCATCTTAATCGCTTTTTATGACACAGAGGCTACTTCAAGATTTTAGCTTTAAGTTATTTATCCATATATTTTGCACTTTTCTTGTATTAGAATATTAAAGAGGTCTATATTTGTAATATTTGATGTAATTTCGCTAGCTTTGCAAACTACTCTCAAAAATGTTTCTAAGAAAGGGTATACAAGTGTTACCAAAAACAAAGACAGTGTTTTCTCTTTCACAATTTGCTCAAACACACAAGTATATATTGTATATGTATATGCATGTGTGTGTGGGTTTGTAGWTTTCTATTTATTTATTTACATATGCATCTGTCTATATGTATCTGTATGCTTAAATGAATGTACACATATATATATTGACATTTGTTGCCGCATTGCTCCATTGATAACACACAGGAGCTCCATTGGCTGCCGGCTACAACAAAGCGTTGTGCAAATTGGCAATAATGACGCATTAAAAACGTATTAAATACATTTAATTATGTGCACACACTCAGACACATACACTGGCACACACACACTCACACACATTAATGCGCAACTTGTTGATTGTGGCACGTTTTTGTTTTGTTGTTATTAGCCGTCTGCCTTGCCACTGTTGACCAAAAATAAAGCGACAAACCTGTTGGGGCCTAAATGGGCGCCTGAAACAATTCGCTTTCCATTGAAATTGAAATTGAAATTGAAATTAAAAAAGTGTAAAACAATTTTGGTTGACAAGGCGACGGCGACGGCGACGGTGACGACAATGGCGACACATTCAAGGTCATTTACCGCAACGCTCTATCAAATATGTTTGCATATGTACATGTACATAGGTAGTACAGTGAAAGCATTCATCACGAACAGCTGTATTTTGTAGGCAATCATTTTATAGGCAAACAATTGTGCAATGGAACGTAGGCCCCTTGGAAAACACATTCAATTTTTTCCAGAATTCAACAAGCAATGCAAATGAGGAAAAACTTAACTACAGTATATATGGATATATACTCAGTAGTCGGAAGACTACATGAAGATAAGAAGACTATATACAGATAAGTTTCGAACTATGGAGGCATCACTGTATTTTAGGATGATATATCACAATGGTTTCTTTAAACTCTTAGAATAGTAGACAAAAGAATGGTACATTCAAATGGATTTTTACTGTATTTGCACAGAGATTGGTGTCATAGTCACCTGGTGTGGCTGGAGGTTCACCAGGTCGCGGACTTGTGAATTATTATCTTGTTTATCTAAGATATTTACACTCTCGACAAATAGGAAATTGATAAGAGTGCAACTACTGCTGCTGTCGCTTTACTTATCTTCGTTGCTTTTCTTGTTTTCCCAAATGGCAAACGACACATAGTCATACAATATTAATTACTGAGAAATGGGCTACATACACATAGGCATATGAATGGTTACATTACTCACCGTTTGTCAAGTTTCTCCTCCTATGCCACCGCAGACACAATTAACAATTGAAACAATAAACAAGGCGATTCTTTATTGTCTTTGCATAGTAGCTGAGTCCAGTGTCCAGGTGTGTATGGATGACTGGGCGGGGAGCCAGATTTCTTTGTTTGTGCAGCCGAATGCAGGAATCGCGTTCGGGTTGCGTCTCAGGCGAAAGTCAGCAAACGACTAAAGTGGTTGCCTTTGTTGCCGTTGACGTCGCGGACGTTGCTCTTTGAACGGCGGCAGTGGCGCGGTCACTGGATGTTAAAAGTAGCACTATTCAGGAGGGGGTGTAGCTGGTCGATTGGAGCTGCAAGCATAAAGGCAACATACATACATAAATATAAATCATAACGCACACACACACGCACATACACAGGCGCGCCAACATCACAAGCGCACTAAAAAAAAAAAAAACAACACTAGGTTCGCGAATTGGAGGCGATATGGCACATATTCCCTATTTTATTACACATCATTTTCTGATAAGGTGCACGGCTCAACAATTTTCGATAATGGTTGTTTTGCATTTTTAGCCCAAATTGCTATGCATGCAACTTGAGTTCTAGTGTTGACACACACACATATATATGTATATATATATATGCACACAGATATGCTCCATAAAAACACTTCAATTAAATTTATAATTAATACACTCACTTAACGTTTAGTCGAGCATTCAGTTTGAACGCACGCAATAACACTGAGTGGAGAGACCTAACCAGGCAGCTCCCCACTTCAGTTCAGCTGTTGAAGGCAGTGTTGGCCAACGCAAAAATGCGCAGTCAAAACAAATACACACTGACACACATTAGCAGTCTTCTGCGATAGTATCGTCTAATATGAGTAACGGCAACATGTGAATTGTCAACAGAATAAGATTTTATGGTCAGTGGTATGGATGTACACAATTTGAAAATAATTATTCTGAAATGGCCATCTATTAACTGTCACGAGGGAAAAATGATGTTATTACGTCAATCGTTTGTTCCTCGGGAGGTTGAAGAAGCAGTTAGAAAATTATCTCAATATAAATATTTTTTATTTCATATAAAATATTGTCTATGCGAAACTTATTCTTACATTCTAAATGCAATAAACCTACATTCATTGGGCGTGCAGAGGATTTTAAGACAAGCTGAAATTATATATATATTTTTTGTTTTTGACAATAAGTGAGTTTTTATATTCCAATCAAATAATTTTCAATAAATGTAGCTGCGCAACAGTTTCGGGCGCCAAGTGTAAGTCCAACAAGAGCGAGATAGCCATATTGCAATTCTGCGGCCAGTGCTGGTAAGCGCAAAATTAATTAATTGCGGGGTCGGCGGCATGAGTGCAGTGAAAATGTTTAGCGTTGAAGACGGCACAAGATTTGATTGAAACGAAAACAAATTAAGAACTGTTCGTAATTTCGCAAAAAGCCAACGCTTGAATTACATTTAAGACTCTCAAACTGGCCATTAGCTATAAGGGTCGATGATTATATGTGTGTTTGGCGAAAGCCTTTGTGTTGTTTCCGCCGGCTGGACGCCAAAACTACAAATTTATTGTCAATTGCACAAAAGTGACAAATTATTTTCTCGGCTGCCGCGAGTGCAACGTAGAGTGGACAATTTCGATACGCTCAATAAAGAGTGTGTGCAGTAAATATAAACGCCGAATCATCGGATTTGTTTTTGTTTATACCAGTTTCTGCACACATTTCTAAATTGCAAAACATAAAAGTGAAAACAGGCCAAGAGCTGGCAGTATTTGTCGCGCTGGTGGTGTACGTGCACGGGCTGAAGTAGAAACAGAAGCAGAAGCAGACATCGCTGACAACCAACAGGAGGTGGGGCCCGACATCGCCTTCGTTTTTGCTGTTACCGTTCTTGTTGTTTTTGCTGCTGCTGACATTGTTTTTGTTTGGCACACAAAACACGCGGCGTGCAGCATAGCAAAAGGGCGGGAAGGCAACTATAACGGTTCTCGTCCGAATTTTCGTTACGCGTGTGTCGATAGTTTTTTGTTTTTTTTTTGTTCATTTTTATTATTTGTTTGCATTGCGTTTTGAATTCAGCCTCACAATTGGGGGGCTGTCGCGGTGGCAATGTCGAAGCTGGGCGAGCACAAACGTGTGTCCCTCACCACAATCAGCACGCAGAGGAGCATAACTAATAGCAATGAAGCGGGCTTCAGCTCAATGCCGCCGACGTTCTCGCGTTTCGGTGACTTCTTGGATCCGGACGCGATGCAGGCAAGCAAGAGCAGTAAATCGGCAACCAAAAGCGTTCGACTGGAACTGGAAATGTTCGAGACGGACTCAAACAGGTATCCCGAGTTCAACTATTCAAAGCTGCTCTACTTGGAGAAGGTAAGTATATTCTAGCCACCCATTTGGTGCTTGTGATTTCTCATTTATTGCAATCTGTTGCAGAAAAAAGCCAAAATGCTGAAAGAGAAAGCCAATAATGGCAGAACAGATCCTTTCGCCGATAACGATGATGATGTGGCGCGCATTGCCAAGGAGCTGGAGGCCAAATATGGAAATGCCTATGCCAGAGGCCGCAGCAGGCGTAAGAAGGAAGAATTTTATGACATTGGAATGGGTTACGACGAGTCAGATTCTTTTATAGATAATACCGAGGCGGTAAGCTTCCAGTTTGCACAAAGATAAAGGTGATTATAATGCAATATCTTTGCAGTACGATGAAATTTTGCCTGAAGAAGTTGAAACTCTGGAGGGTGGTTTTTATATTAACTGCGGCGCCTTGGAATTTAAGAATCTAAACAAAAAATCCAGTACACGTCGCACCGATGCCATTATCAAAATGCCGGAGCGATCGCGCAAACGTGTTGTGTCCAGCAGCTCGGATGAATCTACTGAATCATCATCAGATTCCTCAAGTGATATTGAACAGAAACGAGTTACGAATAATAAGATTAACAATAATAATAATAATGCTGATAATGGTGAGGACGAAGATGATGACGACGATGATGATGATGATGATGATGATGATGATGAGGATGACGATGATGACGACGATGACTCGGACTCAGACGACAGCGAGAGCATTGAGGGCTCTGACAGCGAAAGCGAAAGTCTCGACGAAGACACCAACGGCACGTCTAACAGCGCCAAAAAGAAGTTCAAGCAAAGCGATTTGAAACGTCCGAAATCCAGTTCCGCTTCCAAGCAGAAGATCCACAGTGCCAATGCAAAGAAACCAAGCAGCAAGCTGAAATCTGCGCCGTCCTCTTCCTCAAATTCACCGCGTCCGATTACCATAGACAATTCCGACACGGATGAGCGGCAGGCGCAGGCACAGGCGCTCAAAAAAGTGGTCAAGACAACAACTGTCAAGGATATGCTAAAGGCGAAACGCGATAGCTTCCTAAAATCTCAAGGCCAGCTCGATGGTCCCTCGAAGAACGCTGTAAACGGCGAAGTGAAGTGCATCACGACGACTATTATTGATTCCAGTAGCGACAACGATGACACCGATTCAGCCAGCGAGCAAGGGAAATCGGATAAGTTGCCCAAGAGCAAGGATGTTAATGAAAGTAAGTGATCAGCGTGGAAAATATGTAATCTGTTTCTCACATTTACTGCTTGTATTTCATTTAGATCTACGATCGGCAGATACGATTCTACCCGCAACACTCGACAGAGAGATCCTTGTCAACATCAACAGCTTCAAGGAACTGGTTAGAAGCAGAGAATTGTGTGGCAAACGATTTTACTTCGACGGCAAGCTTACGGCGCTTTTACTCAAGTAAGCTTTACCAGCGAGTTAATCAATTATTTAATATTTATTTAAATAATAAATTATTTTGTAGAATTTACGAGGCGTTGCTGTGTACAGAGCGCAATGAACGAAATATGGTGTTTGCACATCTGGAATACCAGCTTCAATTGCCAAAATATTTTATACTGCGCAAGGCCAAGGCGCTGCGCGCCAAGGAGGAGAAGAATAAGACGACAAACGCCTTGGAGCGACTACGCAAGGCGGTCGCCGAGGTGATGCCCAAAGCAATCGCCAATTACGAGATCGAACTTCATAAATTTGCGGAATTGGCGTAAGATAAAAGTTGAACTTTTAACCAATGAATTAGTTTTTAACTATATTTGTAACTTTTAGTGCGGCAGATGTTAATGCAGAGCATCCGCCAAAGATGCCACGGAAAAAGTTTCAGTGGACGAATGAGCTGCGCGAAAGACTCTACGAGGTATACCAAGCGCGCTGGACATCTTACGCAGTGCTTGGTAAACGAAAGGATTCACTGGAGCAGTTCATCAACGGCTACTTGAAAGACAAAATAGTGGATGTATGGGCAACCGGCTGGATGCGTTACGAGGATCTGCAGCGCGAGATCGAGCGGCATAAGAATGCCAGCAAAAAGCTTAAAGAGAAAGCGAAGAAACAATCACTAGGCACAGCCACAACCACTGCAGTCACCACATCCGCAATACAAACAACCACAACCAACAATTACCTGAAGCAAGTCGATGATCTGACGGTGGCCGAACAGAGTCGGTCGCGTGCCAATTCCGATACGGATTCAGCTACAAGTGCCTCATCCAATAGTGTCAAGCGTAAACTTGAACTGCCACCCAGCACCAATGTTGCCACGACACAGCCAAAGCCAAGCGCAAAGCCGCCCAAAATCAAATTCCAAAAGCAGTTGGCGGCAACCCTTGCACAAATGTCGCAAGTAAGCAGCGCCTTGCCGATGCCTCCAACTAACATTGAGACGATGTCGCTGCCAGCTGTCAACAATTACCTGAAGCAATTCGAGGACCTCACAGTCATCGCCCCACAGAGTCGCTCGTGTGGCAATTCTGATACAGATTCCGTTAAAAGTGCCTCATCGAGCAGTCTGAAGCGCAAGCTGGAAGCTCCTGCCTTAGGCGGCACAACACAATCGAAGCAAGGCAGCAAGCCGCCCAAGAAGAAGAAACAGCAAATCTCGCCACAGCCACAGCAACAGCAGCCACAGCCACAGGCCCAATCACAGATGACGCAGTTGGACACGCTGATGTCGCAGCCGAGTACATCGGCACAGGCAGCGGCATTGAATGCAGCAGTTGTGGCCGCAGCAGCTAGCATGCTGGAGCTGGCCTCGCCCACTAAGACGGATCACAGCATCTACAACCTAATGTCAGCCGCATCGATGAACCCAACGGCGGTTAGTGTCGGCGCTCCTATAAACAGTCTACCACAGACTGCATCACATTCCACAGCATCAATCATGACATCACGCCCCGTGCCCCACATCATCAATTTGGACGACTATAAGAGTCCCAGCGATATCTTGCAGACATCACAGCAACTGGCGGCCAATAAATGGCAGTCTGTTCCTGTGTCGAAGGAGCAGCCGCCAGTGCCTCCAGCTGTTGTGCGATGCGAGAGCAGCAGCGAGTCGGACGGTGTAGAGATTGTGGGCGTCTATCCGGCGGTGGTGAAGCAGATTCTCCCCAATCAACCCAAGCCCAGATCGAAGGCCAGCCAGAAGAGCAAACCGACGTCAGTGATTAGCACGACGGGCACGGTGCCCAATGGAGTTAATGGTACGCTTGGGTTCAATTTGGAAAACATGTATGTGTACAACAATAATAATACTGCCCCCAAGATGGGAACTGGAGTAATACGCGCTACTGCGGCAACTAACACGGTGGAAACGCTTGGCTACGATCTCAGCCGCAGTCCGCAGATTATGAAGAAATTATCGGAGTTATCGGCGCTCGATAAGCAACTTAAATGGTCACCGTGCTCGCTACTCTCCGGTGCTGGCACCAGCGGTGGTGCGGGCGCCAGTGCTGGAGCGGGTGCCGGGAAACCAACAACGCATCAATGACATACGGGGAATGCCACACAGCCCCAATCGGTGTCGGTGTCGGCATTCTATAATCACGAGCAGGCTGTGGCCGCCGCCTTGGTGTTATCCTCGATGAGTGCCTCTGCCGCCCGTTATGATGCGTACGATGTGCAGCTGGGACTGTTGAATGGCTCGCTGGCTTCCACCAATCAGATGTCCAGTGCCTCAACTCAACCAATTTCAACAACAATAACAGCAACAACAACAGCAACAACACCACAAACACTGCCACAAGTATTTCTGAAGCCTTCCCCGCCGCCTTCAGCCGCTGTCGATGGTATTAGCGACATGACAGCAAGCACGGCGCAAGCGGCGCAACTGCCCACAAAATTCATTTAGATATATGCATAGCACACACATGCTCCCTAAACTATTCTGAGTTCAACATTTACAGATCTATACATATATAGGGATATATGTATACCTCCTCGAGGGGAGAGAATTAAGACGCTTAGTTTGTAGGTTTCATAAGAATTAGTCATTTTAAATTGATATTGTGGGTCTGCATCACTGCCAATAATCATCAATCACAAGAAGATGCAGGAAATGCTCAAGAATCGAGTGATGCATGTACGAAAAAAGGGTACGCCGTCTTCGGTGTGTTCGTGTGTGTGTGTCCGCGCTGGCGATGTGATGATTTCGTATTTGTTTCGTATTTTTCGTTTATCATTCTCTGAAGAATATCAAGTCCACCAACTTAAAGTATGTACTTTGAAAGAGGTTAAGAATCAATCGAGTTGTATCTAGTTATTTATAGTGAATCAATTTTTATTAAATAAAAGAAAAATAAGTTATGTAATAAAAAAGTAAAACAAAGAGCGCATATTCTATTCAAAATTAGTGCACACTCACAAGGTTCGTCCTCTATACATATCAAAATGATGCGATCAATGACACCCAAGCAAACTGACCATAACTTATATACATTACGGTTAACATATCCATCCCAATGGGTATTTACATAGCTCCCCCATGGTTGATTATCGTCTTAAACAAGCCATCAAATAACAGCAACACCCCGCCCATCCACTTGCTCGACCCCTTTAACCTAATTTGTAAAATATAACAGACACACTCGAGGACAGGTAATTGGTTCACTTGATCCAGCGTAGCATCGAGGTGAGGCGATTAGCTGCCATGGCTATGGTGGATTGCTGTGCCACCGCAGGTATCAGATTGGACTCTGTCAGTTCTGGCTGAGCCACGCTGACGCTGGGCACCGCCTCCCAATCCAGGCGTAACGAGCTCTCGTCTAAAAGAAGATCATCGATTAATATTGTCTATTAATCAAATTCATATTTAAGCAAATTCAAACCTTCAGATTCAGATTCCGTTGCCGTCTCAATGCCAATGAGGAGCGAGTCCACAGATTTCATTAGCGGCGCATTGGCCACATCAAGATGACCGTAGCGACCCAAATCGCTGCGCTCCAGATCCAAAATGGCCAAAATATTTTCGAGCGTGTGCTGTTCATTAAGCGCGCGCAGCTTCACCTGCTGAGAGTAGGCCAGATACATGATATTGTTGTTGACGCGACACACCTTTCGCAGAAACTGCTCCTCGTTGCGCATCTTGCGACAGAAGTCGCTGTAGGCGACCTTGTGTGGCAGCCTCACGTTCAGATAGAAGCTGAGCAGCTGCGTCAGCTGCACCGTGTAGGTGAGTGCGCCCATGATTCGGTAGGCCTCAACGCGACTGGGCGTTATCTCATTGGCCGTGGTCTTGGGCACATCCTCCTTGTTGTCGGCCAGGTAGTCCAGGTAGGCAGAGTAGTCGCCGTTGGCGGGTAGCGAAGGTCCCACTATGCGGTACTGCACCTCGCTGATGCCACTGCCATGGAACACCCATTTACCACGTATGTATGATGTATTCTTGGCATCGGCTAGCGCTGCGATTGTTTCGGCATCTTCGCTGCGCTCGGCGCACGCCTTGCGCTGCTGCTCGTCCTTCAACACCACCTCCGAGATGGGGAATATATAGGTGACAAGCTGTTGAATGTCACGGCGAGCCGTTTGCTTGATGCTATCCAATAGATTCATGTGCTGCTGGCGTAGTTTATCGATGCGCATCGAACGATCGATCACATAATCCTCCAGCATCTTGACTTTGGTGGGATACTTGGGCAGGTTCTTGCGTTTCTCAGCATTTGCCTGACGCAGTTCATCCCTCTGCTCGCTTAACGTCTGCAAGCGATGTGTCGTGCTGCCGATCAGCTGTTGCAGCAACTGCAGCTGCTCCCGCTTCGCACGTATCGCAATCATTCGATTTTCATTGCACTTGTGCTGTTGTATAAGGTGCTCGTACCTATTGCTGTATGTCTTCAGGCCCGCCTGCAGGTTAATGTACTTCTGCTGTTTCTCCGTTAAGCTGCAAAAATTAAAAATAAAAACATTTAGTTTAATACAATGCTTATGTGTATGTGTGTGTATGCAATGTGGTTTTTGTGTGCAAATGAGTAACAACCTTTCAGATTCCAAGGCAGAGCTGTGAGTAATGTTTCCATTTTTAACACAAGTTCTGCAATGCAGTCGTCGCTGTTGCCTGCAGCAGAGCGGACATCGCAGACCTGTGGAGGCGACACCAGCTGTTGGCTTTACGCGCACATCGCCTTTCGGATGCTTCTTTGTGTAGGCAACGCCATCGCAGACATCGACGTCGTTCTCGTCTTCGTCATCATTTGTGGATGCGCTTGATAATTGAAAGTTCTCAGGTGCTTTGGAGCTTTCATCGGAGCTGGAGCTATTTGCCATTACAGACAAATCATTTCACTTAATATGCGTAGTCGATTTTTCATTGATAATTGTTTTTGTTATTGATACTTTTTCCTCCTGTCAAAACAGAAGTGCTGTGTAACATTGTATGGCTGCAGTCAGTGTTGGTAAGCAGCTCGCAGCAGCCAGGGCTGGGTACTCATACTTTGAAGCGCCAATTAAATTATTATCAACAAATTCAACATCATTTCAATCGTAGTTTTGTTTTTTATTTTTTGCAGAGATTTCAATTGCCAAATAGTATAATTAGACTAATATGTTAGACAGGGAAACAAAACTATCGATCCGCTCCCATTAATAAACATTTATAATTTCACTGTTCGATTTGCCGAGCATTAATAAATTTGGACAACTTAAGCCCATCGTTTTTTTCGTTAAGGACAAATAATTTAGTGAGCCTGTGTGCTTGTTATATGTTTGTTTATTTCTTGCCTAGCACCTTGAGGGCGGCTGCAGTCACATCGGGCTCGCGAGGCAGTGCATTAAGCTCCAGAGTTTTGGCGTATGGCATGGGAACATCAACGCCGCAGCATCTCCAAACAGGGGCGTCTAGTTCAAAGAAAGCCGGGTCCTCCATAAAACGAGCACAGATCTCAGCACCCACACCTGCCAAGCAACGGACAGAGATAATTATATATATAATTAGAATAGCTGGATATCGATGGATACTCACCGTGTTGTGGCCAGCCGTTTTCCACGGTTATCAAATGATGCGTTTTACGGACTGAAGTGAAAATGGTTTGCATGTCTAGAGGGCGTATAGAACGCAGGTTGATTACTTCAGCTTCGATGCCTATAAAACAAGATAATTAGTATATTTTCATATGCAGTAAAGCTATGTCTCATCGCTTGCCTTTTTTAGCTAGTTCAGCGGCAGAGAGTAGCGCTGTTTCCACAGCCTTGGAATGCGCCACAATTGTAATGTCTTTGCCTGGCCGCATGATCTTTGCTTTTCCAAGGGGCACCAAGAAATCGACATCAGTTACTGTTTCGTCAACCGGAAATGCAACACCATACATCAGCTCGTTCTCCAGGACAACCACTGGATCGGGATCACGTATGGCAGACTTGAGCAATCCGCGTGCATCTTCCGTGTCGTAGGGTGACACGACCTTCAATCCCGGGCAGTGGGCATACCAGGCGGCAAAGCATTGAGAGTGCTGCGCTGCAACACCAGCTGATGCTCCATTGGGCCCACGGAACACAATTGGTACGTTGACGGCTCCTGCGGACATGTAAAATGTCTTGGCGGCTGAATTGATGACCTAAAGCCAAAAGCAAGGATATTAAATGTTCATCTCATATAAAATTAAGTGAGAGCGAGACAGTGAGGGATACGGATTTATCATTCACGATCAGTTCATATCAATTCAAGTTTGTACACTCGCATTTTATTTATTCGCTCTTAACTGTTTACTTAATGCCTAGTTTCTGCTTAATGATAAATGCTGGCAGGCGACGTCCTTTCCAGTAACGTGGCAGCGGCACCTCGTTGGCCTGCCGCAGTACCTCTGTTACATACTGTTCCGCATTGAAACTCTCTGCCTCTTTAATCTGTGACATTAGCTGGGCTTGGAACGCCTTCTCTTTGCGCATTTCCCGACGCTGTCGCACCTTGGCCCACTCGAATTTCATCTTGCGGCGCAGCTTCTTTAGCTTATGCTTCTTCATCTTGCGCCGCCGAATCACAATCAGACGCGCTGCTTCCATTTTGTCGGGTTTGCTCCTGTCCACCGGTGGTGCGATTGTTTGACCAACTCGATTTCTATTCAAAATATCATTGATTTCCGTTAAGAGGCTGGAGCGCGGACTCTCAATGATCTTCTTGTGCAGTGGAAAATCACCAATGATCTGTGGTTTGACCACTGGGCGCAAGCTCAGGTCGCTGACGGGCTTAATCGAATTGGCCTGCACATAATTGGATAATATGGGTGGAATTAGTCAATCAATCGTTTTGGCTAAATGCCCGAATGACAGTTAGATTGTACTACAGCAGCAGCTCAACTTGATTTTGAGACCCATATTATCCCATTACGTTAAAGTGGAGGCGATTTATAATTTACAGATCGTGTGACAAACTTGAATTGATATTCAGCTGGCCGGGCAAACAGCACTTATTGTTGGAGTTCAATTGAGTTTGTTAAATACATGAGATAATATGAGCAGTTAAGCTACTGCTTGTGATTCGTGTGTGGGCGGTTGGGGTATCAGATGCAACAGGTGCGTGCAACTCACATGATCGATCGCCTGCATCGAGAAGTTAAAGGTCATGAACTCGCAAATAGGACGCAGACCAGCCATTGCTGCACCGACTGCAATTCCAGCGAAGCCCATTTCCGTGATTGGCGTATCTATGATCCGTTTGTCTCCATATTTCTTCCATAGACCACGTGAAACCTGTACAGAATTACTAAATTGTTAGTTTCATTGTAAATCAGTAGATTCAAGATTGGTAGATTAGTTTTTTTTTTTTCATATTATAATCTCTTTATATATCTATATCTTTTCGTTGCATCGCCAAAATGTATACCAAATGTATACCTAAATTTAAATTACGCCTTGTAAACAGGATTTATCGATTGTGCTCATTATCGATGCGTGCTTTATCGGCCATCATAATCTAAGCGTGACCTTCACCAATCACGCAGCACAATGAGGAAAAAATGAGCGCTGAAATTGTTATCTGTAATCCACGCCGTAGGCAAATCTGTTGCAACTGTTGTATGGCGGACCCCGCGCTACCCCCTAACCCAAACAGCTGTCATTGCTAGCTGTCACTTGGCCTGTTTACGTAATCATCTTACAAGTGTCAAAGTCAAATCTTTTACTCACCTTGTAGGCGCCATCGTATTGTGCCACCTCCTCACCGAGCAAAAAGACACGATCATCCCGGGCTAATTCATCGTCTAGGGCGCTGTTTAGTCCATCGCGTACGGTCATTTGCTTGGCGGCCAAAGCTTTGGGACTCGTGGAGAATGCACGCTGGGCGGCACAGGCCACTTTGGAGAGTCTAGAACGCAGCATTATGGCTTATTTCGTTGACCGTTTTCTAACTGTTTGTATGCTTTTTATTAATAAGGTTGTTTTGAAAATTTTGGCATTACCTAATAAAACTAAAACAAATTTATACACACCGACGAACGTCTTCTCGCCCCAATAGAATGTCAGAATATTTTATTCTCCTACACAACACTTTTTACCTGCCACCACAAAAAATTTTTCGGCACGAACAGCTGGAAGATTTTAATCGATAGGTATACGTTTATTTATCGGGAATGCTGAAGTCGCTTGCTGCTCTTGGTTTGCGTTATAGCTCGAATGCAAAACTTCCCCATGGGCAGCAACTAAGTAATGTAACGAAAATTTGTTTCTCTCCGTTGCCCGAGGTTTCTAAATGGCTAGTACCGGTTCAGGTGCAATACATTGAAAATGGAAAAACAAAGATGTGCGATATATTTAAAGTACACGATAGTGTGTCTATAGTCTTGTACAATATTTCAAGACAGAAGCTTATTTTTGTCCGTCAATTCCGGCCAGCTGTATATTATGGCTTAATAATAAACAACTTTCGTGAGTTACCCAAGGAGGACATTGATTTAATCCAATATCCGTACGAATTGGGCATGACGCTGGAGTCCTGTGCAGGTATGGTGGATAAAGATAAAAGCTTGGCGGAAATAGCTAGAGAGGAGGTTTTCGAAGAATGTGGCTATGATGTCCCCATTGAAAAATTGGAGCATGTCTTTGAATACCGATCCGGCGTTGGGACTTCCAGCAGTGCCCATAATGTGTACTACTGTGAAGTTTGTGATGAGGAAAAAGTATCTGATGGCGGCGGAATTGATACTGAGGTCATTCAGGTTATGGAGCTATCAATTGATGAAGCCAAAAATTTTGTAAAAAAGGGTACAAAAATAAATAGCGGTCCGGCCACAATAGCAGGCACACTTTGGTTCTTCGCCAACAAGATTTAACTGAAGTTCAAATTCAAATTTGAGTGTGACCATATGACTGTTTAGTATTAAATATCAAAAAAGCTTTGTGTAAGTTTTCATAACACATCAGTCGGTTGTTTTTTCACCGGAATCAGCTGTAGTCCACAGTTTGATTTGTTCTAAAATGGAAAACATTTCGAAGATCTGGTTGGGTCCACTGCCTGCTGACTCGCCCTATGTAAAACCATTTCGCATGTATTACGTGCAAAATGGCGTCGAAAAAAATTGGGATCTACTGAAAGTACACGACAGCGTTGCGATTATATTGTTCAACACGACACGTCAAAAACTTGTTCTAGTGCGTCAATTTAGACCGGCTGTTTATCATGGTGTGATAGCTAGTAAGGAGGGAAGCTTCGATAATGTCGATTTGGAGGCCTTTCCGCCATCGATCGGCGTGACCTTGGAATTGTGCGCTGGTATTGTGGATAAGTCCAAAAGCTGGAAAGAAATCGCTCGTGAGGAGGTGCTTGAAGAATGTGGGTATGAAGTGTCCGTGGACCGCATTGAGGAAGTAATGAACTACAGGTATGCCGTAATGCTTCGCAATCAACAAAAATCATTCCCCACTCCTTTCGCCCTTACAGATCTGGTGTTGGCTCTTCGGGTGCCAAGCAAGCGATGTACTATTGCGAAGTAACCGATGCGGATAAAGTTAATAGCGGGGGCGGCGTGGAAGATGAATTGATTGAGGTGGTGGAACTGTCACTGGATGAGGCAAAGAAAATGGTGCAGCAGGGCGCCATCAATAACAGCCCACCCAGCTGCCTAATGGGTCTTCTGTGGTTCTTTGCAAACAAAGCTCCCGCAAATGCCTAGATCTTTTATCATCCGCTGTAATCACGCATTTGTGTTATCTGCGTTGATAACATCTCCATAACGATAATACTCTGCGCTGAGCCTTAGACGATAAATATACATACGGAGAACTTCACATGCTTTCCAATCCACATCTGAATCAGTTAATGTGCGTAGAGTACCCAAATTGCAATGCCTTTCGAGTCTACCCTGTGTTTACTTATACATACATGTATAGAAAAATAAATGTGTGGATATTTTGTTTATCGTTACGTTTGCGTATAAAGCAGCGATATGCAGTCCTTTGACTAGTGGAAATCGGTCAAGTGGATGCGCAAAAATGTGTCTGCAGCTGGAAGCCAAGATGCACAAGTAAGAACACTAAGGTCGGGCGTATCCGGCTAGCCAATACACTTCACACTTCCTAACGCTACCCTAAACTGATTGAAATTTTTACTGCATGAATGATACATTGATTTCACGAGCTTTTCCATTTTCCCGGATTTAAGACATTGGGTATTGTGAAGCTCAAAATGTTATCTCTAAATTTGAATGATCATAAAGTGGTTTTATGGAAGCCTAAAAATATATCGATGATTCAAAACTAATTCAAAACTTCTCTCCCTAGTTCGTTTTTATATACAGGCATACTGGTATGACGCCACGCCTCTTTTTGTATGTTACAAGCTTTTTGACAGAAACATTATGCCCTCTTTATTCATCTTCAATGTGCTCAGGGTATGAAGAGCATTCGCGAGAGCCGATGGCCGAGCCAGCTGACAGCAGCAGCCAAGTGCATAAATCGCAAATAAATCAAAAAGCCGCCAGGCGCACACGCGAGCTGCTGCAATCTGCAAAAGGGGCAGGCAGCTTCTGCAGCAGCGGCATCTGAACAAGTTGGCAACCCAGTCACTGCCCAGCCGATCCRATCCGATCCCACCGAAGCCAAGCCAAGCCGTGTGCCGTTTTTGGGCTGTCAGGCAGCGTGTTGCGCGGCTCAGGTTACTTATTTATACACGGCCAGGCATTTTAGCTGCTGCTGCTGCTACTCCTTTGCCTCTGCCCCAGCCCCTACCTCTTCCCCTGCCACTGCAGTGCCGACGTCAGAAGTTCAGCGGTCACGGCGAGCGGTGGCGTGGAAATTTATTTACTTCAAAGCCATGATTTGGCAATATTTCAACATTCAACGCTGCAATAGAATTTCTTTTTAAACTTTACAAACTTGATGCGCTGTTCGCTGCTCCTGTTGCAGCTATTGTTGTTGCTGTTACTGTAGCCTCACTGTATGCCGGTGTGTGCGTGCATTCGATTTTACAGTAGATAATCAAGGCCAGTCCTGAGGAATCTGTTGCCGCCTGTTTGCTTGCGTGTTAACCTCATGTAAATTATGGACATATGTACGTACGGCAGCAAAAGAATCAACAGCAATGCGAGTGTTGAAATTATATTTAATTTGCATATGTGTATATAGAAAACGAGCAGTAGCCGAGCTCCAACCGTCTTTCAAGTAGCTGTGGACGTGAACGTATTTACGGGTGAACCTCTGCATAATTCGCGTGACACACTCCTGAGTTGTTTGTGGGAGTCGCACTTGTTAATTTTCATGTTGTTCAAGGATCCTTTTAATGAGTTGTTGCTTACATATAGAACGTGGTTTGATTATGCCTCGTAATTCGAATTTGAATTCGATTTGTACAAAATACCAAAATACCATTTTTAGCGCATTTCTCATTACCAATGTGAAAGGTATTTTCTAGCTGCTCTGTTAGTGTTAAACAATTTCAGACAATTTATACGGATTCGAATGACTTGCTTTTCAATTAGCCATTCAGAGCATACATACATACACAAATAGTTATATTTCTGATTTATTTTACTTCCGGCTCAAATATATAAGATGTATACACACACATTGTAATGCTTCTGAATTGGCTTTTGTGTGCTCCCTTTGCGATCGCTGTTGATATGGCTGTCAGGCATCAACTGTCGCCCTGTCATTGCTCCTGTCCGTGTCAAACTCCCCAAGGTGTTGTGATCGCGCTGTTGCCTCAACACGTTCTCGTCATGAGCTGATCTTAAATCAACTGGCGACTGATTGGCATTAACTTTGGCCGTACATTGCGCAAGATCCAAGTACAAGCAACGAAAACAGATCTGCAATTATTTCATAATCACGTCCCAATTTATGTTGCTAGAGCAACGGCAGCAGCAACAACAACTAGATAATGTTATTTGAAATCAAAGCTTCTTTCTATTCCTTGCTGCTGACCCCAGACTTGTAGCGGCTGAGAACCAAAAATCAAAATGGCGTACGCTGCGGAACGGCAGGGAACGAAACGAACGGAACGAACAAATCGCGATCATGAGCTCTCAGTGCGCATGCGAAAATTAAGTGCAGCCAGCAACAATCATAACAACAACAACAACGACTACTACAAAGATTGCCTGCAAAACAGTTATGGGCGCTGCTGCCGCTGTTGTTGTTGCTGCCGTTGCAATAATGAAATTTTTTTATCGGATTTGATTATAAGTTGGTACGTACCAGCGACCCACCCCGCAGCCGTAATCTGCCAATAAGAAGAAAAGTAAGCAAGGAAGGTTTTGTTCGGCTGGCCGACTGGCCGGCTGGTAGCTGGCTGGGCTAGTAGCATGGCGGGCGGATTGGGGCGGTATAGCCCGGAACGGGCAACGACTGCAGCGTCTCAACTATGTTAGCGGTCGCTCATTGATTCCAGCCAGCAGCCAGCAGCTGGCCGTCTGCTGTCCTCTGTCCGTCGTGATGCACTTTAATGAAATGAAATCTTATACTATCATGAACTGGAAAAAGAAAACACTGCAAACTGGTGGCCAGTAAGCCAGACTGCAACCACAACTGCAGCTTGGGCCACTCAAAATGTATAATTATCTGGCGGTTTTATCCGTTTGCCAATATTAAATTTCTCATCACGCCCAGACACTGCCACAGAGTAAGGCAAATCCAGCGTGGAGAGGGCTTCTGGGAGAGCAGCAACAGCAGCAGCAGCTTCATGGGCACGGGCGCCGTCAAACAATTAATAAAAGGCCAAATGTCTGCAATAAGTTATATATATGTATGTATGTATATTTATATATACATATAAAAGCGATGCTTTTCCGCTCCTGTTGCTGGCAAAAAGGAAAAGGCTTCGGCTTTACCGTTTTAAGCGCTGAAATTTTGAGCAGACTTTCTAAAATCGATGCCACCGTTTGCCGGCTAAGCTGAGGGCTGTCGGGGCGTTGTCCACCGAAAGTTGAGTCGATCTCTGCTGCACCTTGCACTCAATTGCGAAGCGCAAGGTGCGCCACGAGCTGCACTGAGGGGCGAAGCTCTGGTGGCTTAAACAGTTGCAAGTTGACAATGCGCAAATTATCGTCAGTTGGAGCCAAGACAATGCATTCTTATTCTTAGCAAAGATAACTTAGATTAAGACTTTTAAGAAAATATATACAAAAAATAAATATATACATATGTATATATATTAAAAATAAATTTACTATAATATTTATACATTTATTTACAAATACTTACAACTTTTTTATTTATTTATTTTTTATCCTGTTGTAGTCGATCCTTCAATCGAACACTTTTGGTTTTGGCCATATATTAGTTTGGCTGCTTTTAATTAACACAGCGTTCGCATCTTTGGCCGCGTTATGTTGCACGTGGTGTCATTTTAATTGCCCCCAAAGTGTCAACAAATAATTTGGCCAAATACGTATAATTGAAATTAAGTCATAAATGGCTAAAAATGTGCGCGACACACATAAAGTTGGTCGGTAAAAATTTCACACTCTCTGCTCTCGGCTTGATTTATGACGAGCCGCGGCTCACGCATGGAAACTTGCCTTTTGCATTTCCAGTGGCTCTCTAACTGTGTCGCGGAACTGTGCACCTGTGATTGATCTCTGTGCTGCAAGCGAGTGTAATTACACCAGAGCGAGAAGAGAGAGCGTGCCAGAGAGTGGGCGAAGACTACTCTACTCTTCTCTTTGCCGTTGTAACTAGCGCAGCTTCAGTTGAAGAGCAAATGGTGCTCTTAGCCAAAGCTCTTGCCGCTCTCTTAAATGCCCGCTAGACACGGCTCTAGGCCCCGCCCACTAAGTGAAGTGAAATGAACAGAGTGCGAGCGTTAGTCCACCTGATCGCCCCCTCTTGATGCGCCCCCGCTCAACTCTATGAGAGTCTCACAACCATTTTGTCTATGCAAATTTGCAAAAGTGCCAAAAATGGGCGCTTACAAATTTTGTGCCACGTTTTTATGAATAAATATTTATGATCAGCGCACTGACTCATCGAGTCGATGTATGTGTGGTCCGGATGCTTAAGTCCGTCATTAAGTCGTTTAAATAGAGATTTCCAGCAGCTTAACTAGCCGGACAGACAATTAAAAATCATTTGCATAGGCCGATAATGAGGCCGCAGCCATAATAAAGCGAAGCATTAAAACCAACCACAACAAGAAAATAAGACAAAAAGTTTCATCCGAAGGGCAACAAAGCAAATGAGATTGGCCCAAGCAAGATCCTGATAAGGAACCAATCGCAATCATCCATGGCAATCGACGAAACTGTGGGGCAGTCGCAGCTGCCACCGGCGATGCGACGTTTTTGACCGGCAACAACTTTGTTGCCTTCAAGTTGTTGAACTTAACGCGAAATCTTGTTGGCCTGCGCCTGGGAAATTAACAAACACACAACAACAACAGCAACAAGAACAACATGAAGTAAGAGTGCTCTAGCCTAGCATTGCCGACGATGAGATACACTACTTTTTGTATGTGATAGTCCCAGTGTCCTATTGGATGTCTATAAAAGAATGTTCGTTATCGATATTTATCGATCAAATGGCAAAAATGAATTATTTATGTTTGTGCTTCAATTGAATATATAATTAAAATTTTAAGTGTTTCCCTATTGATCAAGCATGTTCTCTATGAGCCTAAACCTATCTGCTCCTGCCTGTTGCAGACCTTCACATCAAACCGATATACCCTTGTTATAAGGCCACAACAACAGCCGCATCAGCTTCAGGCAACAAACGTCAGAGCATTTCCTCAGAGCTACAGAGTCTGGGAGTGCTGAACGGATGCGCAGGAGGAGTAGCCTTTGTCAGTTGGA